CTCTCTCTCTCTCTCTCTCTTTCTTTCATTCATTTCTTTCAAGACAGGTTCTTGCTGTGCGGTTCAGGCTGGCCTTGAACTCACAGTGAGCCTATTGTCTCAGCCTCCTGAGTGCTGGGATTACAGGCCTGCAATCCAGCATCTGGTGGATTCTTTGGTGTGTAAAAACTTTTTAATTTAATGTCATCCTGCAACCATTGATTGCAATATTTCTTTTGCAATCGGGGTTTGAGAACACTAGGTCTTATTTCTTCTAACTATAATTTAGTCTCATTTGAATGATATTTCTGGGTTTTAATGTTGCTTTTAGTAGGAGAGTGAGTTTGTCATTTACCCCTCCATCTTATCTACAACTAGAACCCCTTAATAATTTCTTTGGATTTTGTATGTATTTTAAAAGGGAAAGAGTGTATTTTTAGTTTCTTATTATCTGTTTGGTTTTGATGTGAAAATTTTATTTGCAAAACACAAGTGGTTGAATATTCTTCCCCTCTTAATTCTGTGAAACAAGTATATTTATATTTGTGATGGATGTGTTATTCTATGTTTTTGCTTGGTTGTGCTGTTAGTGTAATGCTAACTTTATAGAATGGTTTGGGAAGGATTTTCTTTTTTTATTTCCTAAAAGGTAATGTAGGCTTAATTTTTTTTTTTAAAGTTTGGTAGAGTTCACCAGCAAAGCCATCTGGTCTTGGTTTTCTGTTTTCTTTTTGGGAAAGCTTATAACTATAAATTCAGCTTTCTGATAGACATTGGGCTATTTACATTTTCTATTTCTAGTATTAGGTTGGTTTTGGTAACTCATGCCCTCCAAGGAATTTTACCATTTCATTTTTTTTTTTTTTGGATTTATTGGCATAATACTGCAGTATTTTCTTATTTTCTCAAACCCTTTCAGTTGGTGTTGGAGAGAGTGTGTGTGTGTGTGTGTGTGTGTGTTTGTGTGTGTTGTATTGGGAAATACGTCCAGAGCCTTTTCACTGAGCTGTAGCTCTAGCTTTTTATTTTTAATTTTGAGGCAGGATCTTGCTGAGTTGCCCAGGCTAGGTTTGAACTTGTGATCCTCTTGCTTCAAACTCCCAGAGTGCTGGGATTATAGGCATGCGTCATCTACCATGTTTCTTTCAGTTTTTATACTTGTAATTTTGATTTTTTTATACTTGTAATTTTGATCATTTTAGCCAGAGACCCGTTAATTTTATTATTTCAAAGAATCATCTTTTTGTTTAATTGAATTTTAAAAATAGTCTACTATTGCGTTTTTATATTACTGCTTTCTCCCTTCATCTGTTTCTTTTATTCTACTCTATATGGGTATGAATTGCCTATTTTATTCTATTTTTTATTATTGGGGTTTGGACCCAGGATGTTATACTAACCTACAAACTCAGCCCCTTTTAAAATTGTATTTTGAGGCTGGCCTTGAATTTGTGGCCATCTTGCCTCAGCCTCTCAAGCAGTTTGGATTACAGGCAAGTGCTAGCACATCATGCTGGCTTGTCCATTTTTTAATTCCTTAAGTGGAGGTTTAAGTTACTGAGTTGAGATCTTCCTTGTTTTCTAATATAACTATTTAAATTTGCTTCTGTTCGTTGCTTATTTAAATCTTACAAGTTGTGAAATACTGTTTTCACTGGCATCAGTTGAAGCTATTTTCTAGTTTGTGATTTCTTTCTTGACTAGTGGTATTAAGAATTATACTTACTAGCCAAATATTTTAATGTTTCATGTATCTTTTTCTTCAACAGTTTAATTCTGTTGTGGCCAGAACATACTGTGTGTGACTTTCAAGCACAGTTTAGGGGCTGTGTGCTTGAGAAGAGTGAATATTCTGTTGTCATTAGATGGAGTCTTAAGTGTCAGGACTTATTGCAGCCAGTAACAGTGCTAAAACTTCTGGCTTTCTTAAGCAGAGTTTTGCAGTTTTTGTGTGACTTTTAAGTTTCTCCTTCTCATTTTCATGTATTTTAAAGGTTTCTTATTAGGTACATACATATTTAGGGTGACTGCATACTAGATGAGCTGACGCTTTTATCATGAAATCTTTATTGTAACTATCACTCCTTGTTCTAGACGCTCTTCTGCCCAGCAGTGTGGTCATTGTAGTTTGCTTGCCTCTCCCTCCCTGCCCCTTCCTGTCTTTTTTGTTGTTGGTTTTTGTTTGATTTTTCTTTTGAGACAGTATCTTACTATGTAGCTCAGGCTGGCCTCCAATTCAGTGATCCTCCTGCCTGAATCTGGAGAGTGCTGGGATTGCAGGTGTGCGCCACCATGCTGGGCCCTTCCAGTTTTCCTTGTGGAAACATGGTCTCACAGTATAGTCCAAGAGAGCCTCAAACTCATGATCCTCCTGCCTTAGGGATGCTGGGATTATAGGCATGCACTATCATGCTAGATCCCTGGCTTTCTTTTGCTAAGTGTTGTAGTGTTTAAACTGCTTGCACTTTATGTGTGTGTGTATATGTTTAAATCTGCCTTCTGGTTCTTTGTTTTCTTATATCTGTCTTTTTCTTTTTTCTTTCTTGTTCTCTGTCTGTCTGTCTTTTTGAGACAGGGTCTCGCTCTGCAGTTCAGGCTGGCCTTGAGCTCACTTTGTAGCCCAGGCTGTTCTTGAACTCGCAGGGTTCCTCCTGCCTCAGCGTCCTGAGTGCTGAGATTACAGGTGTGCGCCCTGACACCCGGCATATTTTCTTCCTTCTTGTATGCCTACATTTGGCCAAAAAGCTGTGTATGTAATTTTTAGTCTGTTTTTGTTTTGTTTTGTTTTGTTTGTTTGTTGGTACTGGGAATTGGACTCGGGACCTCCTGCTTGCCAGGCAGGCCGCTATTCTGCTAAGCTATATCTCTGGCCCAGCCTGTTTTAAAATTAAGTAGTTACATGATTACACTAAGCATTTTAACTCCTTAGAGTTCATTTTAAAGTAACATTTTTTTTCAATTGAGATATAATATATCTCAGTACACTTTTAACTTTTTCTCTATGCTTTGAATATTTCTTGCTGTGCATGCTAGTTTTATATATTTCTTAATAGTTGCTGCATCCATTGTTTTTGCTTTAAGTAGGTAAGAAATTTAGAAGCGAGAAGAAAAGTCTTCTTACACATCCTGGTTTTCATTGGGTATTCTTATCCTTTTGTCAAAGAAGTTTCCCTGGTCTTGTAATAAGGCTTTGTTGGTGAAATAGTTCTTCCCTGTTGTTTTTAAGAATACCTGTTTGTTGCATTTTTGTTCAGTATCTACAAGATTTTTTCTCTGATTTTCCCCCAGCACTTTAAATGTTTTTACTTGTCTTCCAGCTCACAGATTCAGCTGAGATGTTTGCAGTCAGTGTACATTTGTTACTCTGTAAGGAATATGTATTTTCTTTGTGAATTTACAACGTTTTCTGTTTATTATTCTTTTTCAGCAGTTTGCATATAAAGTGCCTTATTGATGTGTGTTTATGCCTATCAGACAGTTTGCAAAATATACAGCTGTTATTTCACTAGTTTTCCTCTTTTCTTCCCTCTAACCCCAGCCTTGCCCTTGTTAGACAGGTTTCTGTTGTCCTAAGGGTACTGTGGCTCTATGGCTGTCATTTTTCAACCTGTGTTTTATTTTGAATAGTTTTAAAAAAAGGTCTTTAAGGTCAGTGAAATTTTCTTTTGCTGTTTCTAATTAGATGTTATCTTTATGTTACCTCAGTGAGCTCTGTTTTTATTTTCAGTACTTAAATGAAAGGGCTGAGGTAGAAAGGAAAAGCAAGAAAGACAAAAATTCAAAGAACTAAAAGAAATGGAGTTTATGTTGTCTTTTATAATTAGACTTCAGACTTACCTTAAAGACCTGAGAAGTATCACCATTATCTTATGCATTGAGAAATTAGTATTTGATTAGTCAGAACAGTCATGTATCAGAAGCCAGTGAGTAGCAATAAGAAAGAGATGAATGAAATACGAGAAATATGGAAAGAATATGATGTTTGGTAAGTTGGTCTGTTAGCCAGAAGGAAAAGAATTTCAGTCAGTTGCTGAATATAAGAAACGTGTTTTATTGACCTCCAAAGCAAGAGTAGAACAAATCAGAAGAGGAAAAAACAATGTAAAAACTAAAGTAAAAATTCTTGTTGAGGAGTAAAGTAACAGTGGGAGAGGGGAGGAGAAACGGGGATATGGAGAGGCTGGAAGGCAGACAGAAAGAGAACTGCAGTCTGCTCTCCAGGAAATAGTCACGAATACTCTAAATAGACACAACGAAACAATAAAGCTAAAACCCACATTAAATCAAAACACCAAGCAAGGTCAGTGGATAAACATCACCAACAAATTCAATCTAAAACGGGTTAGAAGAGACAAAGAAGGTCACTACATATGGTTTAATCAATGTCTGCAGCAGGCTGAGAGGGAGAGAAAATGCATAGTTAACAGAAAACATCAAAAGGTAAATGGACAAGCTCTGGGAAAAAAAATATAAAAATATAAATTTTCACAAAAAAAGGTAAATGGCTTGAACCTTGAAGTCATTATTTAATTACAGATTAATTCACCCAGAGAACATAACTCAACAGGAATTTATGGTACATAGTTTTTTTTTTTTTTTTTTTGGGTCTGGGGATCAAACTTAGGGCCTCACATGTGCTAGGTGAGTGCTTTATCAGTGAGCTACACCCTCATTTTTTTTGGGTGGTGGTATCAGGAATCCAACTCAGGACTTTGCATTTGCTAGGCAGGCATTGTGCTGCTGAGCTATATCCTTGGCCCCCAAATTCATGTTATATAAAACAAACATTTTTACACAAGAGCAAAGACATTGATAACTGATCATAATGGGAGCTTGCATATGGTGCTTTCAGAAACTGATAGACAGAATAGCACAGTTCAAAGCACTTTAAACAAGTATCTGAATAACTTTTTAGCAGGCATTGGTAGGTCACTCTACTGGTCCTCCTTGTATCTGATTCTGCTCAAACAAAGGAATAAATATGTCAAGAATCCCTTGGTTTAGGAACCTGGGACCAGTATAAGCACTAAGGACAGAGAGATAAAATTCCTGAAATAACAACATGATTTTTAACAATGGGGAGAGAACATAGGAAATTAAGGAAATATTATAGAAGCAATTTTTACTTTTAATCATTTATAATTCTTCATAATTATGAATACAACAAAATGACAGGAAGAAAAAAACAAAAGAGTCACCAATACGGAAGGAGTTGAATGATAGTAAACACAATAGTCCACACATTTCAGTAAGTGAATGTCAATGTTAATGGCCTCAACTATGCAGTTAAAAGGCACGGACTGGCAGACTAGATCAAAATATGGAACCCAACAGTCTGTTGCATTCAAGAAACTTATTTAATGCAAAAGATATTCATACGCTAAATAAAAATTAAAGAGTGGTAACTATATGCACCAGAACCTCCAAAACAAGTAAGGGTAGCAATTTTAATCTCAGACATAGTAAACTTCAGCCCCTCCTCCCCTGCCCATTTATAAGGCTTTGTTTCTATGTTTTCCTTCTTTTTTTTTTTTGAAAAAATTTTTCCCCTTACTCTACTCTTGTTACCCTCCTCATTTGGACATTTTCTTCCTATTTCATAATGGCTATTATACATTTTGGTCCATATTTATATTTTTGGTTTCTTACACCAGAGAAACAATGGGTATATGAAACATGTGTCTGATTTATTTCATTTAAGAGTATGGTCTCCAGTGCATCCATTTACCTAGAAATGTCTAAGGCTTATCCTTCTTTAGGCTGCCATCTTTTAAATAGTGCAGTAGTTTAAAGCTCTGAAATTATCTGACTGTTCCTTTGTCCAGAACGAGGAGTACTTCAAGAAATGAGTTGTGACAACACAAATATATTAACTGGGTCTGTCCTTACATTTACGGTAAAAGAAGGGCTTAGTTTAAGGGAAAAAATGGCTGTGAAGGCAATTATTCACTGTTTGATATGGCAAAATGCTGGCGAATGCTTAAATTATTTTGTTAACCTTCCAGTTGTGCTCTATGTGGAGTGTAAATACTGTGTGGCTTTAACACTCAACATTTAAATATATGTATTTCTCTCTTTGTAGGCCTCGAAGTAGAGGAAAAACTGCAGTGGAAGATGAAGATAGCATGGATGGGTTGGAGACAACAGAAACAGAAAATACTGTGGAAACAGGTACCCTGAAACTTGGGGAGAGTTAAAAACAGTGTGCACGGCGGCATGCACTCACATGTGCACTACATCGGGCACATGTAGCAGAGTTCTGAGCTGGCGTTTACTTACCGCCCAAATTCTAAAGTTCCCATCTGCCTACATAGTTCTTTTTTTTTTTTTTTTTTTTGGTTTTTCTCCGGTACTGGGAACTGAACTCATGACCTTGCGCTTGCCAGGCAGGCGCTTTTGCTGCTGAGCTAAATCCCCAGCCCCAACCTACATAGTTCGATAGCAAGCCGCAACGTGAGAAACTTGAGTTATGTTTATGAATATGTGTTTTTATCACAGCACAATTAAAACTTGAAGAAACCATAATTCTAGGCCATTAGAACAGTGACTCAGTATATTTCTGGCTTCTGAACCTCAACTGTTGAAAGCATATTTGGTTGGATATGTATGTAGAAGAGGAAAGGTTTCATTAACAAATAATGTGAAATACTGAGTTAAAAAAGTAGTTTCTGGTCTGTTAGACTTCTAGGTGCTTTCAGTAAGCTCATGTGTACCATGCATCTGCAGAAGGCAGGTAGATTGGGTTGTTCAAAATTTGCAGGTTAGCCTGGTGTGGTGGTGCATGCCTGTAATTCCAGCACTTGGGAGGCTGAGGCAGGAGGATCCTTGTGAGCGCAAAGCCAGCCTGAACTGCATAGCGAGACCCTGTCTCAAAACGACCCCCCCAAAAAAAATTTACCGAAGGTTAATGGGCTACTAAGTTGTCAAAGGGTCTGAGTTGTGTGCTGTTTTTAGAGGACAATCTCTCTCTGATGATATTTGTAACAGTTTTGGGTAGGATTTGAACATCGTGTTAGGCTTTTTTTCTGAAGTTGGAGAGCATCTTGATGCTTATAGAATGCCTTACAATTTTTGGAGAAAAGTTAAAAATTGCTTTATCTGAAAATGCTTTATGGTTGTTGCATATGCTTTAGGTATAATTATAGCTGTAATTCTTGGAAAAGCTTTCAGTAGTTTGCAATTCCCATACTCGTTTCTGATAGAGTCTAGTTAGAGTAACAAAGTGAAGCTTGGAAGTTCAAAACTCTTAAATTCACCCTTTCATTATCACATTACTGTAGACCTGAATTTATGTAAACTCTGTTGGTTCTTTTTGGTAGTTTTTTTTTTTTTTTTTTTTTGCTACTGTACGCAGTAATTTATTAGGAAAAAGTCTTTCTGAAGACTTTTAGTCTTTAGTTTCAATATAATGATTACTTACAAACTGCTCTACAACAGTCTATCAGATGATGTCCTCTAGAAGAGTTAAGTGTCTGCCTCCTTTGACCTTCACCCTCCCTTCCGTTTCCCTCCTTCTTACCCTCCCTGTGGGGTCCCAGGCTGTCCCACTAAGCTGCCTCCTTACCCTTTAGGGTTTTTTTAATTTTGAGACAGTCTTCCCTGAGTCACTAAATTGCCTAGGCTGGATTTGAATTTACAGTCCTCCTGCCTCAGAGTCTCAGAATTATAGGCACACATGCCATGTCCACCCAGCACCTGCCTATTTTAGTCTCCTGTGCTTTTTTTTTCTTACACTTTTTGATAACCTCTTCGGTATCCTGATCTTTCAGCTTCCTGATTTTTTTCAAAAATTCTTGTCTCTATTCCTTCCCACTCACTTTTATAGTCATACTTTACCCTTTGTCACTGTGCGGGGTCACTAAGACAATTGCTGTTTCTTGTCCAGAAATCTCAGTTTAACCATCTTACCTCTTCTTTTTCTTTTTTCTTTTTTTTGTTTTTGGTTTTTCTCCGGTACTGGGAACCGAACTCACGACCTTGCGCTTGCCAGGCAGGCGCTTTTTGCCGCTGAGCTAAATCCCCAGCCCCTTCTTACCTCTTCTTTTTCCAGCTTTTCTCCTAATACAGATACAGAAACAGACAGACACACTTGAGCTGTATGGAGGCCTCCAGTTCAGTGATCTTGTCAGTGGCCGCTAACTCCTTTTCCAGCCCAGGTCCTGTGAACGATCATGGTAGTCATTCTTTTGGACACCTTCATCTCTTCCAGCCGCCCAGGTTTTATATTCTAACAGCTGAACATGGCTGTAGAAAAAACATGTACTCTTACTAGCTTGTTTCATTTTAAGTCTGTGACCTTAAATCTTAATCTCAAGTGGATGGTTCTTGCTGTTTTCCATTCATTCTTGCCTTTACTTAAAATTTCTCCTTCTATTATTGACAGTGATTATTTTATCACTTTCTCTTTGCTTTTTAAACCTCTAATACCTCCACCCATTTTTTTTTTTTTCCCCTTCATCTGATGATCTTTCACCCACCTTCAAATCTTCTGCCTTTACCTTTACATTTTTGCCTGAATGCTCCACTTTTCCTCCTGGTAAAATGGGGTTGAGAGTCTGCATCTGTCTGAGGCCAACTCCTCTGCTTGTGTTCTGGATTACACTTTTTACCTTCAACTGTTGTGAGCTTAAGGTTTGCTTTCTTTTTTTTCCCTCATTGTTAGGAATTTCCCCATCTCAGTGAATCCCTCTGTTAGCATATAAATGCGTTATTAAACACAAATGATCTTCCTTGTTTAGACATTCTCTCTTGGCTACTGTACAGTAGACTTGGTATGAAATCCTTGAGTTTTGATTTCTACTTGCTGCTTATTTTTAACCATTTTGTCATGAATATGCTCTAATCAAAGTTTCTTCCTCTATCCCCCGCCCTAGTACCGGGGATCGAACTCACAACCTTGCGCTTGCTGGGCAGGCGCTGTGCCACTGCGCTAAATCCCCAGCCCCTCTTCCTCTTCCTCTAATGAAATCATTCTTGTCAATTTGCCAGCAGTCGCATGTTGCCTGCACTGGCCTTTGGTTTTCAGTTTCTTAACCATTCTTTTCAGGCAGCTGACCAGTCTCAGGAGTAAAACTTAATTTTTTCTTTACTTTTGGGACACCATAGTCTCTTGGTTATTCTTCCTCCTCACCAGTATTTTTTCATTCTTTTTTCTCATTTTCTTATGCATCACATGGTCTTAGTTCAGTGGCTTTTTATATTAACTGTGTACAGGTGTCTAAAATTGTATTACCAACTTTTAAAAGATCATTTTTTAACGGATGTATAAAATGTGAAAAGTGTGCATACTAATGGGGTACTAGTACTAGCTCAGGAGCTTTTTTTTTAAAGCTCAGGAGCTTTTAATACAACTTTATCTTCGGCTTGCTTTTTTTTTTTTTTTTTTTCCCTTGGCTTGCTTTTTAACAACCCTTCATAGATTTTTTTTTTTAGGGGGAGGACTGTGGTTCTTTTTATTTTATTCAGAGACAGGGTCTAGCTCAGTCTCCCAGGCTGAGCCCACCTCCTGTCCCAGCCTCCTGAGAAACTGGGATTGCAGACATGTGCTACCTTGCCCAACTTTTCTTAGATACAAAAGAGGGTCTCATTTTAATATGTCGCGGAACTTACTGTTATTCTGAAGCCACCTCCTCTTCCAGTGTTCGTCTCTTGGTGAATATATGGCTAAGGCTCAAAGCAGGGAGTCTTTTATTGATTTCACATCCTTAAAATCTAGCCCACTAGCTGGGTGTGGTGGCACATGGCTATAATGCCAGCACTTGGGAGAGTGAAGCAGGAGTATCACCTAGAGTCAAGGCCAGCCTGAACTGCACAGTGAGACCTTGTCTCCACCCCCACCACCCCCAGTGTAGCCTATCAAAAGTCTTTCAGACTTTACCTTCACAGTACATGGGGTGATTTTAAAAAATATGGTGACTATTTAATATTTAAAAAAATTATTACAGTAAAAGGCATGTGGCCATTAATCTTCAAAATCCTCTCCCCGGCTTTGAACACACTTAGCCAGTAATCCTTGCCACTGCCTGAAGTAGTTCTGGAAGTCCACTTTCTAGAGTCTTTATGAGATGGAATTAAAAAGTCTGTTGAATGCTGCTGAATACCTTTTAACAAGAAGGCTGGAAGCACTATGGCGCATCCTTATCCACCTTACTCACTGGATCTGGCCCTGTGATTTCTGGCTCTTCCCCGAAGTTAAACTGACCATGGCAGGTAAATGTTTTGAGTGGATTCAGGATGTCGAGGCAGCCACAGGACGTCGAGGCAGCCACAATAGTACAACTAAAGACACGAAAGTGGACTTCCAGAACTGGTTCAGTGAGTGGCAAGAACGATGGGATGGGGGTTCACAGTAAGGGAAAGTATTACGAGGGGGATTAAAGGGAAGTGTCTTTTTTTTTTTTTTTTTGAGACAGGGTCTTGCTGTATAGCTCAGGCTCGCTTTGAGCTCAGTATGTAGCTCAGGCTGTCCTTGAACTTCCAGTGATCCTCCTGCCTCAGCCTCCCAAGTGCTGGGATTACAGGCGTGCGCCCCCATGCCTGCCTAGGACACTGTGTCTTTTACTATGATATTTTTTATTTTTCTGTAAGCACATACCATATTTTTTGATCATACTTGCACACCTTAAATTTGGGCTACTTTCTTCTGTGTTGTTGTTATTCCACAGCTTTCCACCACCACTTGGTGCTTGGTTGCTTGCTTTCTTTCTCTCTTTCTCTCTTTTTCTTTCTTTCTTTCTTTCTTTCTTTCTTTCTTTCTTTCTTTCTTTCTTTCTTTCTTTCTCTCTCTCTCTCTCTCTCTCTTTCTTTCTTTCTTTCTTTCTTTCTCTCTCTCTCTCTCTCTCTCTTTCTTTCTTTCTTTCTTTCTTTTTTTCTTTTGTCTTTTTGAGACAGGGTCTCTTCTCTGTATGTTGTTTTTTGTTTTGGTTTTTCAGACAGGGTCACACTGCACAGTTCAGGCTGGCCTTGAGCTCACTTTGTAGCCCAGGCTGGCCTCGAGCTCACAATGATCCTCCTGCCTCAGCCTCCTGAATGCTGGGTCTGGCAAAGATTTTGGTTTTGGTTTTTTTTTTTTTTTTGGTACCAGGAGTTGAACTCAACAACCTTGCGGGCTTGCCAGGCAGGTGCTGTGCTGCTGAGCTACATCCCTGGCCCTGCATTTTTTTCCATGTGAA